CACGATAGGCGTCGTGACGCTCGGCGTCGATTTTCTAGTTTTGTGTTCAGTGTCATCTGGGCACTTACCTACAGTAAATTTGACGTCATTTGAAGGCGTCACGATAGGCGTCGTAACGCTCGGCGTCGATTTTCTAGTTTTGTGTTCAGTGTCATCTGGGCACTTACCTACAGTATTATCGACGTCATTTGAAGGCGTCGCGTATTCTAGAGACTCATCTGCGGTAAATCTGGAGCAATTTTATGGAGTCGCGGAGTTCGGCGTCGTTCTCTAACATCGTACCCAGTGTATTTGGAGGGTGTTCTGTCATATTTCTGGCGTGGTGAGTTGGCGCCGTGAAGCCCTTCTCATGGCGTTTGAATCCGACGGCAGGCGTCTCGGCGCTGAACGTCGCAATGCCGTAAAATACGATAACTATAAGAGGCGCCAAATTTGCTGCAAGCATGTCATCGGATGTCATTGGAAAGGAAACTATAACATAGACGCCTAGCTCTCCTTCGCGACGCCATGACAAGACGCCAGAAATGTGACTGAAGTCCTTGGGGTATATTTGGGAGCTATGCATCTGCCTTATTCTATGCGGTCTGTGTTGATATACATTGGTTTTCAAACCATGAAGCATTTTCCCAAACACTGATTTTAGTTACTGAATTCAGATGTTGAAATAAGAATGTTTTCACACAATAAAGTAATCCTGTAATACAGAATTATTGTTATAGTTAACTACTGAAACAACTTGATCAAATTTTATGTTCAACTTTGCTGAAAGTGTCAATCTCGGAGACTGGTATTTGAAAGGTACCTATTGTCATAAAAAAAACATTATTACTAGAAATTTCACCTAAATTTTGTACGTTTGGCAATTAAACTTCTGTGACGTAGAATGACCTTTCGGTCTGTTGGCATTGTTACAACAGCTTCGAGCTTCATTCAGCGACATCTGTAAGAACACTTAATATTTTAAGTTTTGCCAAAAAGCCAACGTCATGCCCGGCTTGCGAGATCTGTCTTCACTCTCGCACGCGCATATTGTAACTCTGAATGAAGGCGAAGACAACACAGAAACAGCATGTTTTGCATAATGTATTTCTGGCAAGCTGCCGACAGTACACCAAACACGTGCGATGTTTTTGCGAAACAAAACATTTGCTACAAATCCATACGGTGGCGTGTTTATGAAATTGAAAAATTTGTTAATCAGTGGCGTAATTTACAGGTTATCAGTCTTACAGCTGAAAAGTTTTTACTTGTGATTTGATAAATTGTACGCGACGAGAAAACGTTACTCGTTAAAACTGTTAAATATCAAGTTCATTGTTTGCTACAATAACATCTCCCATAGCTCTTATGAAAACCGAATGTGAACATTCCATGAACTGACTTTACACAAGAACATTCAAAGCTATCCGCTTTAGAACATTGTTTTGTACGTCACAACTAAAATGGCGGTCTTTTACACTGGTGACGTCGGCCTGTTTGACGTCACGATGTCTGAGTAACCATGGTAACTAACGATTTATAATGCCAAGGCTATGGGTGAGAATTTCGAGGTTCCTGGAATACATACTAAGGCTGACAGGACGAACAATTCGATTTTTAAGGGGGAAAGATTCACATCTCTACAGAATATTGCGCTGTCTAACTGTGACGCTGTATCAATCACGAAGCTATTGAGTGTCGACGTAGCTGGTCGCGAGGGGGCAGAGATATATGAACAGCAGAAGGTGGACGGGTGACGTAACACACGAGTTCGCCTTTCTTCATGATGAAATAGACGTTAAACTAGTGAACACTGCAGCAGTCATTATGACTATTGATGAAAGAAAATGGCTGGCGATTTTTTACAGGAGATAGGTGGCACCTCTGTCGGCGAAATGCAGAGCTACTGGATGTTAGAGTAGATGATACGCTTACCTGGTAAACACTACACTAAAGAAACAGATGCATAATTAAATACAGTGACGCCACTCTGCATTCTTTCTGAAGGACACTTACTACCGAACAACACAAAGTCTTACAACATTTACTACACATGACGAGAAGAAACTTGAGCTTCTCTTTGCATAAAAATGCTTCTTGTGAAAAAAGTACTCATATTCTTAAGGCGTTTTAATGGACAGTAGGAACACAACATCTCCATTCCAGTCTTTCATTATTTACATATAAATTCATTTATGTATATATTTAACATACATTTAATAATGTATTTGTTTATTTATTTTTCTTGTTTACTCATCCAATAATATACGTTACACGACTGTAATCTGAAACCTAAAGGATAAAACTAGACGTATGCGGGATTATAATATTAAAAAAATATATCTTAAAGAAACAGGGTGTAAGTGTATTGTACGAATGTCCCTTGTTTTCTGTAATACATTTTGCACCCGCAATTAAATTTAGCAACAGCGCGGGAAGATCATTTAGGACATATAAATTCAAGGTTATTCGCATGTGATTATTAGAATCGGAAACAAAGCTTAAAATAACGTTTATCACATTGATTATGAAGTCCTTGGGATTTCCCTCCGCGGTCTGCGGCGAAATGACGGAATACTTGCGCTTGGTGACTCAGAAACAAACGTCATATATCTAAATAAACAAACGGTCTAATTAAATACGTAACCACCAGGCAGAAGAATGGACACTTCGACTGGCAATCGATAAAACAAAACAACAGCGTACGGATTTCTCCGCGTTGCAATGCTTTTAAGATGAATATCACTCCTGACATTTCAAATAAAACAACCTGTTTGCAATTGTAAATTAGTAAAGTTTTAATAAACTGCTGTGGTGTTAACAATATCCACACCCCTGTGGCCCTAGACCACATAAAGGTCGAGGGCCCCTTACCTGAAACGAGAGAACCCCGCGAAAACCTGCTCACTTGTCTCAGACATTCAAACGGTATATGTCACGTAATGTGAGGAATGGAGCTCTAAAGTCGGTGTCAGGGTCGCTCGAACACTGGGATGATGAGTTCGAATCCCACTCGAGGCACAGATGTTTGATCTCGTATTTGTGTTGTGACATCGTGTGTAGGTAGAGGCTTTGCGATGGACCAATCATCCTCCCAAGCTGTCCTACCAGATGTCTAAACGGATTAAACCTTCGATGCCGAAGCTCGTCTAAATATTATTTAAGAATCCAGTCCGTACCGCGAAGAAAACACCGCACTTCACCATTACAAAGATCAATTGGTTAACGCTGTTTAAGGAAATAATCGGTGTTTACAGCGAGAATCTTACTAAACCAATAAATTTAACATGTAGAGTTACCGATTATTGAAGTAGTTGGTACATATAGTTACCGCTGGGCTTTGAAGGGTTAAGTAACTTCGTGAGATGGGCATGGTTTTTAAAAATTGTGGAACCACGGAGCAAATATATAACGACAAAGCTCCAAAAACTGTAGTGCCACCTAGGCTAGTGTCACGCCACTGGTGCTGTTCAGAGAATCAATAACCGGCAAAGCTCGAACAGGCTAGAGGGCGGTGATGAAAGCATTTTGAACGGAGAAAGCCATGTATGACCCAGTCGGCAGACATCACTCAGCACACCAAAACTACAACTCTCTCCCCCCCCCCCCCATTAACAACAACAAATGTGCATTTTATTACACGTTACTAAAAAACAAACTAAATACGATTTTGCTTCGAAATCAACAGCAAAAAGAAAATCTTATTGTGGTTCGGTAATTAAACAAGATTCTCGATTTTCATAAAAACCATTTACGAACACCGGAAATAGTAGTAGCATCACGAGAAATTTGA